GCTATGTCAAAGGCACACTTTCCTTTGGGCTCACATTTAAACGTCCCCATTCCAATCATATCTTGGGCTACTCGGATGTTGATTGGGCTCGATGCATTGAAACAAGACGATCTACTTATGGTTATTCTATTTTTCTTGGTGGGAACTTGATCTCATGGAGTGCTAAGAAGCAACCAACTGTCTCCAGGTCTAGCTGTGAGTCTGAGTATAGAGCTATTGCCAATGCTGCTGCAGAAATCGTATGTATTACACATCTTTTGCATGAGCTTCATGCCCTACCTCCGGGCATTCCCACTTTATTGTGTGACAATAAAAGTGCACCTTTTATAACTCAAAATCCGGTCTCTCATAAGCGTGCAAAACACATTGATTTAGACTACCACTTTGTTAGAGAACTTGTTGCTTCTGGTAAACTTCACACCAAGTATGTCTCCACCAATCTCCAGGTTGCCGACATCTTTACCAAGAGTCTTCCACGTCCTCTTTTTGAGAGATTTCGAGCTATGCTCTGTCTTGGTCCACCACCTGTTCGCTTGAGGGGGGGGGGGGTATTAGATAATACATAATTATGTATTTAGTTGTTTACAATAATCTTGTATTTATCCTATTCCATAGACATAGGAATATTTGTTGTATTCTCTTATTATAAAAAGCAATACATATCACACGTCCTTTAGTGTGTTTGATTTAATAAATCTTATAAAGGGTTCCACTACAAACCATTCGAGCTAAAATTGATTATTGTTCCTATACATTTCGAACGATCTATGGGGTATTAGGCATCAAATTTTGGATATTTTTAGACGGGGAACGATAAACCTTTATTCCTTTTGCATTCTATCTAGTGATGGAACAAAAAATGTTAAATTCGTTTCTTAGTGTGTGACCCATTGGTTTTTTGAGGGGTAGTATAAAAAACCAGCCCCACGGTATAAACAAATAACTATAGAAGTAATAACCAACTCATCACTTCGTATTGTGTGGATCCAAAGAATCAATCAAGATATGATATATTGTTCATATTATTGTACCAACTGAAATCTTTTTTCATTAAAAAAGATTCAATTCTTTACATTTCAATGACACATTCAAGGAAAAATATAAATTTTCGTGATTTTTATCCAAATGTCTATTAAAAAAATGAAAACTTGGATTATAAAATTGCAAAAAAAAAATTTTAAAATTGGATCAATACTTCCAGTTGAATGAGTATTAATAAAGAATCCATAGATGAAGATAGAAAAAAATTATTGGCTTATCAAATTATCTATCGAGCCGTGAAAAAGGTTTCAACAAAAGACAGAAACAAATCCACTATCTATTTTACGTCAAGAAATACATGGAGTAACTCCGAGTATAGCAGTAAGAGCAAGACGTGTTGGTGGATCGACTTATTAAGTTCCCATTGATATATGATCCACATAAGGAAAATCACTTTCCATTCGTTGGTTATTAGCGGCATCCCGAAAACATCTGAGTCGAAATATGGGTTTCAAATTAGGTTCCTAATACTACATGGTTGTTCCTTACTTGATAGTTCTTGATGTAGACATTGGGATTAATGAGGAATCTAGACAATCATTATTCACCAATAATATAAGACTAAGAATTAGTAATGTATACCTAGGTCATGTCAAAGGAACAAATAAAGTACCAAGGATAAGTTCTACCCAAATTCTGAGGCATCCACTTTTATCAAGTGAGTGCATAGTTACTTTCAGCTTACACATAGTTATCAAGGATTTAATTTGCTTAGATACCATCTGTTCTTATTATATGTGTTCCTAATATTTATGCTAAATGAGATAATGATTTTACTCGCCATAAGTTATATATGTATTTTATTATACTTATACTATATCGGGTAAAAAGGGTAGAGAGAGAAATGAGATAATATAATGGTAACACACCATGCCAGAGATAGAATAATGGTGAGAAACAATACCAAAGATAATATAATGGTTAGAGACCATACCATAGATAGAATAATGGTGAGAAACCATACCAAAGATAATGTAATGGTGAGAGACCATGCCCAACTGAGAGCAATCATCTAGCAGAGTATTGATGACAACAATGGACTCTTCTAGACAATCCAGTGGAACAGTAGTAGAGTCACGATTTGTAGGTGTTAATGAATAATACTATCCGGGAGTATGGATTGTGTGTTCATTCAAGTACTTTACCCCCCTCATGGTTACATTCCAAACATGCATTGCTAAGGAATCCCTGAAGTAGTGTCGTCTACTTGTTGTTCCATAGATCCTTTAGGATAGGACCCTTAAGATTATCATTTTAGGATTGAACAATGAGAATAACAGGAATGGGTAATCATGATCAAAATTGTTTGGCTTGTTAAATATACTTAAAAACAATATTATAATAATAATGTGGGTTTGAAAACTCTATGTGCTCACCGGGCTCCCAAGTCTGACCTACTCAGTTTTCTTGTATCATAGGTAGCAGTACAAAGGTACATGAATGATGAGAAATTCAGGTAGAAGAGGACTGCTAGTCTATGATACATGAAGGAATGTTTATGCTTATGTTTTATAAGAGTTATGACATCCTTAGTTTTAATAAATCAATTGAAAACATTTCTTTGGAAATACTTTTTATGGGACAAATTCTGCATTTATAAACAAACTATGTTTTAAATAACCATAAATAAGAAAAGGTTTTAAAAAGGCCTAAAATTTGGGGATGCCACAAAATGATCTTTTAGTGGGAATAAAAATAGTTTTATTTTGTTCAAAATTAAAGTCTTCAGTTGCTATCTTTGTGTTTATGAAACAATTTTGAAAAAAAAAACCCAACAATTTCCACGATGTGACAGCCTGCTCGTCACAACTTGGTGACTGGGTTTGCTCGATTATTTTGTCGAGAAGCGGCCACGACGTGGCAAAGGATGGCCATGGCGTGACAACCATCTAGAGTTGACTTTGATTTTGATTGTTGACTTTTGACTTGGTTGACTTTTGGTCAATTGGCTAGTTTTAGAAGGTAGACTAAGGATTTACCTTGTATGGTTTATTAGGATGTGTATAGCACTCGTTCATTGGCAGTGAGAGTTGTTAGTTGTTGACTACATCCGCAAGATAAGTCTTTTCACTATACTGTGTAGGATGCTAGCTGTATTTGTGACTCTTGCTTATATGTTGGGTGAGGCCCGTTATATGGGTGGGGCGTGTTATGTGAGAAGGGCCTGTTATTTAGGTAGGGCCCGATGTTATATATGGTATATGGTATTTTGGGGAACTCACTAAGTTTTATGCTTACGATTTTATGATTTAAACATTTTAGGTGCCTCTGATTCCAAAGGGAATGACCCGACATGATGGCACAATATCCCCTGGAATTTATTTTCGCATTACCTATTTTGATTTACTCTAATATTTGAGAATACATTAAACGTTGGTTTTCTTTTTAACAAATAATTGTAGGCTTTTAGGGGTTTGAAAATGAAAGTTTTTAATTAGTGATTTTGGGATGTAACATCTAAACTCAACCACAATTCCAAACTCAACCACAATTTCAACCTCAATCTCAATCCTAACCTCAAATGCAATTCCAATCTCAAGTCCAATCATAAATGGAAAATGTCTTCAATCCATTTGCCCATCATCCCGACTCACCATTCCATTTCCAATCCCAAATCCAAACCCAAACCTAACTCCAAATTCAATCATAACCCAAAGTTGTACCCGAAATGGATTCTGAGGCAGAAGCGATTTGTCTGGAACCCAATAAAATAGGAAAGGCGCCTCCCAAGTAATGGATAACAGAGGAAGAAATGGCATTAGCTTGTGTGTGGGTCAATGTTTCGGAAGACCCAAAGGTCGTGAAAAACCAAGATTCGCCTACTTTTTTTTATGGAAAATTACTAGGAGTTTTCTCACGAAATTGAATTGTGGACACAACAGAAAAAAAAAAAAAAAAAAAAAAAAAAAAAAAAAAAAAAAAAAAAAAAAAATTTACTCAATGTCAAGAAACGTCAACAAAGTTGTGTGGAGTTCAATGTAGTATTTTTTTACTGTGAAACGACAATAGCAAAGAGGTGCAAATGATAAGTCAATCTTACAAAAAGCTCTTGCACTTTACCAGAGTGAGAAAGAGACAACTTTTAAATTTTTTCATGTTTGGATTATTGTGAGATGTCAAAAAAATGGCAAGATATCGAAAGTTTGGAAAGGTTCATGGGGTGGGGGTGGTTAGCAGTTTTGTCCCTAGGCTCTGTCAAGTCTACACATAATTTGCGAGTTCTGCATGATTTTACAAGTCTTGTTGTTTTTGTGCTTTTGGTGATTGTACCCATGCATTGATTTTCATTGTTTTCACTGCTTTGTTGCTTTGAAGTGGTTTCTGTCTTGGATTGTTTTTCCTGATGTTTGTTTTTTGGTTTTTCAAGTTGCAGCTGGTTGATTTTTGGTGATGGTAGTTTGAGGTGTCATTGGGCTTGTTTGATGCTGTTTTTTGTATTGTCATTTTGGTAGTCTCGTTTGTTGTCCTGTTGTTTTTTCTTGTGTGTATACTCTTTTCCAGCCTCCCACTTTGGTTTTTTACTCTAATTTTATGTTTGTCATTCAAAAAAAAAAAAAAAAATCTAAAAAAGATAAAGAATTCAGTATTCAGTAGTACATCAATTATACCAATATAAGGAATTTATCCGGAAAATGTATTGACACCGAGCATTTTACATTTAGTAGAATATTTTTAAAAGTTCTAAAATTTGTCAAATAAATCATAATACGAATAAATCATAATTTATCATGCATTTTACCTTCCTTCTAATAAAAACAATAATCTTTTAATCTATTGATTCGATTTTTAATCTATTGATTCGATTTTTAATCTATTGATTCGTTGATTCATAGTTTAATACTCATATGTTACTTATAGAAATTAAAAAACATTCTTTTTTGTAGAAGAATACACAAGTTATACAAGTATACAGCTGCCTATTTCGTTAAGATTTATAGAAATTATATAAAATATACAAAAAAAAAAAAAAAAAAAAAAATGTGACGCCGGATGGAACCAGAGTCTCCGCCGGCCGTCGCCCCTGTGACGCCGTGATCCATTCTCCCCGGATCATCAATGGCATGTTTTCAAACCATTTACTACTCGAAAGACAAGAAACAACACACACAAATTCAAATCGATCGTGTTTTTGTATTGCGCCAACAATCTAAACCCTAATTGCTAAAAAATCTGTGTTCAACCAAAAACGAAAAATTCGAACCTCAATCTTCTTCAGTAGGTTCTGGTATCGACGGATTGGATCTCAAACTGATCATCAGAAGACGTCAAAGAATAATTCGTCCCTGTCGGAATCGTCGTCTGAGTTTGACCGCCGCTGTAACTGTTTTGACCTTTCATCTCACGTCGAAAGTCTCTCATCGCTTTGAATCTCAAATCTTCGGAGTATTCATTCGACTCCGGAATTATCTCCGGCACACAAGTTTTCCCGTCGAGCATGCTTACAACCTCCGTCATCGTCGGCCTCACCGACGCAGAACCGTTCGTGCACAGAAGCGCTACTTTCACCACGGTTTCCGCTTCTTCTTTGTTGATTCTCGACTCTAATCTCTCGTCAAAAAGCTCTTCGTATTGTTTACTCGTTTCCAATCGACAAGCCTGCATAATCGATTCAAAGAATAATCAGATCTACAGATAAATTTCAGTAAACTCAATTCAATTTTGGATCTGACTATCAAAATCCAAAACATACCCAATCTAGAAGACAAATGCAATCGTTTATTGGAACGTAACTGTTGTTCTTCTTTCCACTGACAATCTCCAACGCCAGGACTCCAAAGCTATAAACATCTGCTTTATCGCTCAAGTAACCCCAAAGTGCATACTCAGGTGCCATGTATCCTCTGCAAATAATGATCAAGATCTCATTAAATAACTGTTTAAATAACCAAATTTCTCAGACTATTTTGCAAGGATTTGAAGGATTACATTGTTCCAGCAACTCTGGTGCTAACGTGAGTCTTCTCCTCCTCATTTAACCTTGCCAATCCAAAATCTGATATTTTAGGGTTCAGATCTTTATCAAGCAATACATTTGTGGCTTTGATGTCCCGATGCACAATTTTGATCCTTGATTCCTCATGAAGAAAAGCTAAACCTTTAGCAATCCCAATACATATCTTGAACCTCGTTGCCCAATCCAGCATCAAAATACTTTTTTTCGACTCTGTATTCATAACAAACAAATTATCGATACAAAATATGGAAATTTCGCTATCATTCAACAAGAATCCTGAAGAACACACTCACCAAACAAAGCGTTTGCAAGACTATTATTTTCCATATACTCATAAACAAGCAACAATTGATCTTCTTCAATGCAACATCCATGGAGTTTAACAAGATTCGGATGTTGTAAGCATGAAATCACACCAATCTCATTCAAGAACTCACGGTTTCCTTGCCTTGATTGAGCTGAAAGCTGCTTCACTGCAATCACAGTGCCATCACCCAACGTACCCTGAAATCATCATACAAAATGTTATGTAAACAAACACAAAAACCATAATCACACAAATTAACAAGTTGTTTTAATTACGATTATAACCTTGTAAACTGGCCCAAAACCTCCTTCCCCTATTTTGTTCGAACGACTAAAGTTGTCAGTAGCTGCTTTAAGTTGTTTATACGAAAACGAAATTGTTTTCATCGACATTCCTTCAAAATCTGTTCAAGAAAAAAGTTATTTAAACAGATTCATTATCAAATATTTAATCAAATTGATCAAAGATTAAAGACAAATCCATACCTTTGTCATTCGCTCTATTTCGCCCTTTGAAACTTTTTCTCCTCCACAAAATGATCAAAACCAACAACAATACAAGACATGGAACCGCAACCCCGACACCGATAAAAACCGCAGCTTTGTTTTTCTTTTTTCCACCTTCCGAACAAGTTTTAAAGTCTACACAACATAAAAAAAACACATGCAAACCATTCAACAACCAAATGAGGAGAATTTTGTGATGAATCATGAATTATATATTTGAAGTGCTTACATGGATCAACATCAATAGCCGATATAAGAGGTCCATAGACTCCTCTTCTAGGAAAACGGGTCGTTCCTTTACCCGCCCAATAAAACCGTATCTCTAAAATGTTATTTGTCACACTAGCATTGAACGGTACAACCACCGGCCTCCCAAACCCACCAGCAGCTTCTTGAATATTGAAATTCCTTTTAACCAATTGTCCCTATAACACAGATAGCAGACAAAAGATATTTAAAGAGAAATAGAGATAGCGATAACAGATAGATAGATACGCAGATGACAGATAACAGGTAGCAGATAACAGATTGTATTACCTGAATATAAATATCAAATATCCGGCGACCAAGACTTCTAAACGTAGTATCGTTAATGAATACGATCTCTGCAAAGTGTAGATTAACCAAATACTCTCCGTTTTCCAAACAATAGCTGAAGTAAGTGAGTGTGATTGGTGATAGACGTGCGGTTGTATACAGTTGTGGTAAGCTCGTGTTTCCTTGCAAAGATTCTACGTATCGCGTGTTTTGATAAACATTATCATCCATGAAGTCTCCAGTGCTACTAAATCCCCAATTCTTGTCACTTTCATATAATTTTGCGGCACCACCATCCACGTCAGCATCTCCTTTGTAAACAACCGATTGTCCGTTACTTTCTGTAACCGTCACATCATTCCCACCACAATTAACGTGAATTGAACACGCATCTGCTATAAAACAATATGAGAATCAACATATTAATATGATATAAAGTCATACTTAATCGGAAGTGGTAACTTAATCATGTAAGCTATATATGGGTGTTTCAGTAAAACTTACATCTACGACATGTGGTATCCTCCTTGCATGGAAGCACATCTTGTCTGTTGAAAAAAATAAAATCATGTAGACATGATCAATGCATGTGTAAAAAAGGAGGATGAAAAGGATATATAAATGATGGGAAAACCAACGAAAAGTCGGACATTATCTTATTCTTACATTGGGTTTCCGGTTGAAGAGCTTCTAAATAAGTTTACGTATGTATTCCTAATATAACAACAAAGGAAGAACTCTTTATATAAAAAATAAATAAACATATAAATTTATACATAAAACAAGCAAAAGATGGACTTGTATATTTGAGAAAGCCAGAATGAGAAGTCTTTACGTGTTTTGTTCGCATGAAGGTTGATTAGGTTCTTGCCATGTAAAATTGTTGTAGGAAAGATCACTGAACCATGTACATTAGTGAAATAAAACGTTATAATTTCTTAATTAATAGTTGAAAATGCAAGGCAAACTTTTAACATAAATATTCACGAAATAAACTTACATAGCAGCCCCGTTTACCAACAACTCATTCGGTATGTCTCCACTTAGCATGTTATCAGTTAAAAACCTGTTCAACATGGCATCAAGATACTTGGTTAAGGTCTTAAATATTCATGTGACTGTGACGGTTACTGCTTACTGGTTACTGTTACTGTGACTGTGACTGTGACTGTGACTGTGACAGTGATAGTATATTTATGACTTACACGTATCGGAGGCTCCTCCCAAGGACGTTGTCAGATATTCTCCCTACTAAATTGTTAAAACTTACATCCCTATATATCAAATTCATTTACGAAAATATAAGTCATTAAAAAGTATTTATACATAACATGGAGAATCAAAAGAATCGAAACCCATTTAGCATATACTTACAACAATTCGAGTTCTCTCACTTGCCAAATATAATCGGGTAATTCTCCAGAAAGGTTGCAATTTCTCAAGATCCTAAATTTATAAACAAAATGTGAGAATATATACACGATTTAGTACAAAATTTGAGAATTATCTGCATGCATACAATCTTATTAATGCTGTCGCATTTCTAAGGGGAGGAAATTGCTGAGAGGGCCCAGTTATGTCACCAAGTCTCCTGCAAAATAAGAGTCACCATGAGCTAATAACTAAAAAATAAAAATAAAAATAAACAAATTCACGAATTAACAAGTGAGTCCGGTGAGTCAACTCACAGATCGGCTAGGCTCTCGAGAAGATTTATGTTTGAAGGAATCGGTCCAGTGAGTCCACTCGCCACCATCTCTCTTCAAAAACATCCGAATATTAGAATATTTATTTATGACTTTGTAATATAAATATAAGCACAAAAAGACAACCGATAATAAGGACAATAAACAAGTTGTTCATGTTGTTGTAGCATTGTTTTCACACAGATTTAAAATAGAGTAAAATTAATTTAATATTTTTAAAACTATTTGAAGGTGTATAATAAAATAGGACGACTAGTAACAAATTACAAAAAAGAACATCTTACAATCTGTTAAGCTGTTTCCAATTCTGTATAAAATCAGGTATGGGCCCACTGAAGTTGCATTCGTTTATCCTACTGTATTATACAAAAAATAATAGAAAATACAAATAAAATTTTCAATTTTGTCCAGAAAAATAATTGCAAAACCAAACAAAGTCAAACATTTTACAAATTTGTTAGGTTTCCTAGTTGACCAAGTGCCGGAGGCAGCCTCCCTGTAAACCGGTTCGAGGACAACATCCTGAAAATTAATAATTTGGTGTAAATAAATAATTTATTCTTTAAAAGTAAAATAAATAAATTATACAGCTAGCCTTACAAATGTTTCAAATTATATAATTTCCCTAATTCGGGTGGAATTGTTCCTGAAAGATAGTTTGCTTCAAAGTCCCTGAAAAGAATTTGAACTATATGATTATATAAAACGAGAAAAGCAAAAAAGAATTCGAGCTTTAAAAATGTCAGAATTGCCTAGAGAACAGAAGTTAAAGGGTAAAAAAGGAATTTCACATACAGCCTTGTGAGAGTCGTGATATTCCCTAGTTCCGGTGGGATTTCCCCGGAGATACGGTTTCCAAGAATCGAACTTGCAAATGGAAAGATAGACATAAAGATTTCTCAACTTCTAGTTCTCATAAACAAAAGATTATATATGAAACTAAAGGGTAAAATAGAGATTTTACATGTCTTGCAACCGTGTTAGACCCCATTCGGGTGGTATTGTGCCTTGTAAGTAATTGTAAGCAACATCACTGCAGAATGCATATAGAACGAATAAATTAAAATACTTCCAATTTTGTTAAATCCAACTTAACTAACTAAAGGGTAAAAAAGAGATTTCACAAGGTCTAAAACAAGACTTACAATGATCGAAGGTAAGGAAGTTTTGCCATTTCAGGCGAAAGTATCCCGTCAAGACTATACCACTTGTGTGTGCTGCATACAAGAAAAAAAATATTAAATTTATGATTTTATACTAAAGATTATAACGAAATAATGATAATTTTTTTTTTATTTATAAAAAGTGAATAGAAAGAAAAAAAGAAGGGACTTTGTAGTTTATACATCCTTACGACATGACAATCTGTATCGTTTCCAATGTTGCAATCACATCCGATGCTTGCATTAGCTTCACTTGATAATCTTGGAACTTGAAAAATCATTTCAAGATTGCAACTTTCACCATTAAATCTCCAACTTGTTGCATTCATGTCAGCAAGAATGTTTGAGACAGTTACCACTGAATCAAATTAAAAGAAAAAAGGTAAAAATAAATCACATCTTTTATAACCCAAAGTGTACAAGAAAGATTTTAGAGGTGTATATTAGTAAAAACAGCAAAAGTCAAACTACTCATAAGTGGGATTTGAATGATTTAGTTTAATAATCATTGGATTCAGTTTACTCTCTAGATCATACCGAATAACAACAAATCTTCAATCATGAAAAGATATACTATTTTGGCTTATAAAGATTCGTATGAATTCTTAAAAGTTGCAATAAAAGACAACTTTTTTGATTTGGATTTGTTGAAAAAGTAGAAATTATCCCAAACCCAAGAAAATTTTCAATTTCCATCTTCTTAACTGCTTCTGGGCATGCAAATCAAGATTCTTGAAGAAACAATAACATAAAATTTGAAGGCGAAATAAATCAAGATTTTGGAAACCCATGTACGTGAGATTAGAAAAACGGGGTTTTTGATGTAATATTCGAGAAATATTAGCTTACCTTCTTGTGGAGGCACAGTGGATTCAGAAAATCGAAGGGAGATGAGAAAGATGAGAGTTAAGAACAGCATGAATCCAGGTATTATTTCCGCCATTGTTGCAGAGGTGAAGAGTTTGGTGAGGGAGATGAGAAGATAGAGATGAATGGGTGTGAAGTTATTCGAGAGCAATCGGCTGCAATTCTTGAAGATCCATTCAGAAAATGAGTAAATAAGTCAATTGTGTATGGCAAGTTGTGCTAGTCTATATCAAATAGTCATACATGAAATTCTTTTTTTAATATATTTTGAACAGCGTCGTACATGAAAGCTACTAAATGGTGATAGATACATGATACGTGTGGGTGTTTCTTGACTAGTTAGAAAGCGAGGGAGAAAATAGGAAAATTGGGTATATATTGTTACACCAAATATAACGATATAATATGTTTTATTTGTCATCTTGTTAATATTTATAATGATTATCTTATCTTATGTTTGATTGACAGGTATTTATAGTTTGTTTTCTAGGAATAATGTTTCGTACGTTTGAAAGTAATTATAAAGTATTGTTTATGTTAGGTAATAATTAAATAGTCTAGATTAAGTTTTAAGCGGATCCCATAACCAACGAATGATACCAAAAACATATTTGACAAAAATAGGTAAATTAACATTCATAAAATTTATAATATTTTTCAAAGTTGAAGATATCGGGTTAGTTTCAAGCAAACGATCTTTATTAACCAACATATTAAACTAATATAATACTTTTCAACTAGATTAGATAGAATTATAGTAAAACCTAATCAGTAATTCAATATGTTTAAAATTTCTAAAAAAAAAATTAAGAGCGTATGTTTAAAGCAACATTTAACTAACAACCACTTGTAAAGTCAATTATTTATTTCTGAAGAGACGACACCAAGTGTATATTACTAATATAGTAATATGTATAATATCTAATTCAATAATTAACTTAAAAGATATATTATATAAATATAAATATCGAATATATTCGAGAATTGTTATTCTTCAAGGTCCGTTTAGTTCAACAGGTATCTAAAGGGAGTCGTTAGATTTGTAGGTCTGAAATGGAAAAAGATTGTACGGTATTAATTGGTGTGTGTTTGACCAAGACTTTTATGCAATATGCATGTAAAATGTAATCCACTTGACCTTATTATTATTATTATTATTATTATTATTATTATTATTATTATTAACAATAACAGGCTAAGAGCCATGAGCATCATCAATTTTTTAAGGCCTTTGGGACCCATGGCATGCAAGATAGCAAGACAACGTTTTCTTGATTGGATTGATATTTACATTTTTCATCCTTAATCTTGCTTAATGATATAAACTAAATTTTGTTAGTTTTTCTTTGAGTAAATTACACGAATGGTCCCTATGATTTAGGGTAATTTGCGTGTTTAGTTCCTAACTTATTTTTTTAACTCGGAAGGTCTCTACTGTTTGTTTTTGTTACGCGTTTGATCCCTGTCTTACCTAAATATACTATTTTCCCTTGATATTTTAATTTATTTGAGTAAACATATCCCCAACCCCACCCCACTCACCTTACCTTACCCATCTTACCATTTTTTCTTATTTAAATAATAGTCGTTTTAGGTAAGATAGGGACTAAGTACGTAACAAAAACAAACTGTAGGAACCAAACACGTAACAAAAACAAACCGTAGGGACTTTCCGAGTTAAAAAAATAAGTTAGAGACCAAACGTGCAAATTACCCCAAACCATAGGTGTAATTTACTCTTTTTCTTTTTGTAACGGTCGATCCTTAAACAATTAAATTTATAAGATAGATGTCCACCACAAAATATAACCGAACCGGTCAAATTTAGCATGGGTGCATGACTAAAACTCTATAAGAGCGCCACCAATCATCTCAGAAGGTTCTTTTTTTTCTTTTTTTTCTTTTTTTTTTTAAATGATGTCATATGTCCAATAAATTTGTTAAAAGAAATATGTTATTAAGTATTAACTAGAACATTTTCCAACCATTGACCATTTTTCGAAAGGTCTTTTTTTAAGTTAACTAATATACCATCATCTTTATGAAATATTTTATAAAGCTTAGTCATCTGATTAGTGATTTATTATTTATTAAGCATAAGTAATATTAATAAAACTAAAAAGTACATAATAATAACATTACATTAAATCATTATATTAGGATATACGAAATTAACCAAGATACTACTAAATCTAGAGCCCATGTTTCGTATTTTTTGTCATCGCATAACATTTGATCTTATGCAAGTTGTTTGTTACCCATGTCTTGCGTATTTTCGTACATAATTTGTTATTATCTTCAAAGCTTGATTGATTCGTTTATCTCCTTCATTTGTTTTGTTGCTTCATTTATCTCATAGCTAGTTATGTATCGTGTTAGCTTTGTTAATCAAATCTATTATCTCACTCACTTCGTTGCCTGAGGTAGTCGATTTTCCTTTATGTTTCGTTTATGCATGTTTCTTTCCCATGGGGCGTACTTTGTTTCATCATCTTTAATGTTGATGCATTTTTGTGCACTTGATGGTGGTGTGTAATTAGAGGGGCTAGTCTTTCTTTCCTTCGTATGAACATTGTTTACACTTCCCACATTTTATTTGAGTTTGCATTGTCTTTAATGATTGTTCATATATACATGCTCATATTTGAATGACTTAGTAGATGTGGAATATTTCAAATACATTATAGATGGAAACCCATTGTATTATCTATGCAAATGAAGTATGCACTTAATATCTTCGGTATTTGGTGTTCTCATGTATACAATGCCAAATTTTCAGCTAGACATCGACATAATTTATTTAGACATTAAATTGCAATCCTTTCTTATATTTTTACATTTTCTTTGTTTTGATTAGTTGGTATTCCATATGTTGATTGTCATGTAACAACAAATCTCCCTCTAAAGATCTTAGGTGGGAAAACGTGTTGATGGAAAAAGTAATATGCAACAAGACGAATGTTTCTTTCTGCATGACCTAGATGAATGTTTTTTCCCTTGATCACCGATTATAACTATTTCGAACTTCTTTCTCGCCTGATAATTCACTGATGATGAACTTATTAGTTATTACTTGTACCAAAAATTGCATGATGATCATATTGCCTTGTAGACATAGTTGAAGGAAGAAATATGAAATATTATATAAAGATGATGAGATTTTGTAACATATAACACCAATAATCTTTTCTTTTTATACAAATAAAATGACACAAAGGAAGAATAATGTTAAATAAATACGACAAAATTGTCATTTAATAAATAAAAAACGATGAAAATATCATATAACCATTACAAATATAGTATTTAATATTATAGATTAAAATAAAGAAAAGTATTCAAAAAGAAATAATAAATTTTAAATTTTAAATATAATAAGAAAATAAAATGATACTTTATCAAACATATGAGGTAAATCTCACAATACATCTAGTAAGAGGAAAATGTTTGAATTGCAACCCAAAAAGCAATACATTCTAAATTTCTAATGGTAAAAATTACTTTTAGAATTAACTATTAATATTTAATCTACAAAAAGGATTATCATTAGAGAATCCAACATACGTAGCAATTTTATACCGAGTATAAATATTTTTTGGAGCTGAATTTCAAAAAATAGATGAAAAAAAAAAAAAGATTTCCGGATATAGATGGATTCCGCGGAGATGAGCTCTAAGGGATCATCATAATCCATTGTAGCTATGCGGAATGACAAAATCATAATTAAATTGCAGGTAAAAAACAAAAAAAATAAAAAATAAATAAATAAACAAAAAAAACTCGATGAACACTTCCGCGGAAGTGCCTCTTTGACCTCCTTAGAACCACAGAACTGTTCATCGGGTTGGTTTTTTTTAATACCCTTGATTAATCATACGGGTTATAAGTATTACAATCCTCCTCATTATACCAAAAGAGGGAATAATCTTATTATAATCATTCCATATCAATAAGCGATAAACTTCCTTATTATATGAATCAGTTTTATAATTATTACAAAGAAAAAATAATAAGAGTAAATTACTAAAATCGTCCTTATGGTTTGGTCAAAATTGCACGTTTGGTCCCTAATATTTTTTTGCACTCGGATCGTCATTATGGTTTGATTTTGTTGCATTTTCCGTTCCTTACATACATAAAGTTAAGGACCAAACATGCAGTTTTGACCAAATCATAGGGACAAAAAACGCAATAAAATCAAACCAAAGGAACGATCCGAGTGCAAAAAAAAAATTAGGGAACAAACGTGTAATTTTAACCAAACCATATGGACGATTTTAGTAATTTACTCAAATAATAATAATAATAATATATTGACTTAGTGGGACCAACAAAAAGGAAATAATTATTCAATCTTAATAAGATATTTCATTATAATCATTAGCACTTAATCGAGGTCTGCAATGGAGTTCATGTCTATACCCGAAAATCCGATTTTTTTAATCTATTTTTTGAAATTCAACCCAAAAAATACGATGCACCACATGGAAAATATTAGTCAATGGCATATTATATGGGTGGCATGTCTAAAAATCATGTCTTGATGGCATTTTTTAAGTGTTTGGTATTAAAGTAAGTGCATATGTTTTAGATTGTATGTTTCTTAAATTACGTTTAATCTTTATTAAAATTACTATTTGATGTGTATGGTATTATTGACAATCTGATCAAATGAACAAAAATTATTGACCCGCATATTTTGTTATATCAATTAAACTTGACTTTAAATCCTAGATTTGTGCCACTATTCTTAAGATGCTAAATACAATAAATATAGAATCCAAAAAAAATATTGTTTAATGTTTATTTTCAGTTTATACATCGTTGATTACTTTATTTGATAGTTTATATTATCATTAATCGCATTTAAATATTAATCATTTATATAAAGTATTTTAAAAATAGACTAAAAATTGTTTGCCGTTCTTTCCAATCTCACCAACCAATTTTGAATTATACTAAGAATTTATTTATTTTGACCACTCATAATTTATATATTTTACTCCTTATACTAATTGTATTACATCTGTAATTATAAAATACCATTGGCAAGCCAAATACTAGTATTTTTTGACAGGATCAATTAATTAAATATTTTCAAATACCCATGACAAATCAGAAAAAAGAACGCTTATTGTCATTATAAGTTTTTATTTTTAAATAAAAATATATTAAAAAAATTGGATCATGTGCAAC